ATTTTGGAGACGATGAGTGCTCTTGTGGGGAATATTGGTAATTATCATTCCATAAACTTTCCCTTTTGAGTGGCGTTTAGCATGGATGGGATGTTGACCAAGTCAACTAGGAATGATTCAATATATTTTAGTCCCACGTAAAACTAAAGTGATGGTGGCAACAATCAGATCAAAGCATATTGTAAACAACAGATCAATGCTCAACAAACAACATCCGGGTATGGTACATATAAGCTTGATCGGTGTAAAATAAACCATTAGATTCAATGATAATTGTTTTTACTATTACCATTAATTTGATCTTTTCTTTAAAACTAGTTTTTTTTCTTGCATTTACATCTTGCTAACAAATACCTCGTCTTCTTTTCTTTTCTATTTTTAAAATTCCAACCTTTTCCTTTTGGGGTCTGACAAGTTACCTCGTTTTTACTCAATAGACAGCTTAGGTTGTTTAAAAGAGGGTAAATGGCAATATATTTGGAGCAACATAACTAAATTTATGGCAGAACAATGATAGAAAGAAAATGTTATCAAGGCAGCGCAGCGAGAGAACAAAGGCCTTCACCATCACTGTTGTTCGCCGCCACCATAGTCACTTTAATGTTTGATTATATTTCCAACAAAGAAGAAAAAAGTATGAACATAAGTTCTCTAAGGGTTTATAGGGTCTGTGGCTCATTGATTTTATCCAGGAGAAAAATAAAGTTTTGAATTTCGTATTTTAACAGAAAATATCCAACATGGACGCCATGTAGACCATAGCAGTCGACCAAAGTGCCATGTAGATTCCAATTCACCTGGAAACCATATGAACCCTTCATTTTTGAGATATTCATTTACTTGACCCATAACTTGAAAGTATAGTGACTTAGAATGCACAAAAGAAACAATTTAGTTACCATTTAAAACAAAAGGTGAAAGTTGGTGTATAATGGCATTAACCCTTTTATAATTCATTTTAATAACTTTATTTTAAAATTTTAATAACTAAATGAGTACATTTTAAAAAGTTAGGTGACTAAATAAGCAAAAATCCAAAAATTAAGTGACCAAACCAAAAGTTTAATGACCACTGTAGCATAAATTTACAAGTTCTACGACATTTTAAAACTTAAAATGTGTTAAGTGACCAAATGAGCACAAAGTCAAACGTTAAGTGACCAAAACTGACTTAAACCCATAATAAAATATTTATATGGGCTCAAAACAAACCCCTAGAAAGTGGAATAAAAAGTTATTTTCATCTCTTTTTAATTTTTGTTTTAAAAAAAGTGTTAATGATCATTCACTGTTTGTTAAGAACGTAAATAATTCAATTGTTATTTTTCTTGTGTATATAGTTGATATTATATTGACAGATGATTGTATAGATGAATTAGATAAGGTCAAGGTTTTCCTTAAATCTTAGTTTTTAATGAAAGATTTAAGAGGATTAAAATATTTTCTTGGTATAGAAGTTATCAAAGTTGATAATGGGGTCTGCTTAAATCAAAGAAAATATTGTCTTGAGTTGTTGCATGAATTTGGTATGCGTGGGTGTAAACCAGTTAAAACACCTGTTGAAGCTAACTTGGTTATAAAAAAGGATTGTTATGTGGATAGTTATGATAATTTGGTAAATACGACTGAATTTCATAAGTAATTGGAAAATTGATTTACTTAACCACAACTCGGTCTGACATATCATATGTTGTTCAACTCTTAAGTCAGTATGCATAAACCTCATAAATCTCATTTTAATATTGCTTTAAGAATTTTAAGATATTTTAAATCTAATCTAGGTAAAGTTGTTTATGTTACAAGAACAAGAAAACTTGGTCTTGTTAGTTTTGTGGATGTTGACTGGGATAAGTGTCTTCACAGTCGTCGATTTATAATTGTTTATCTTGTATATTTTGGAAATGCTCTTGTTTCTTGGAAAAATAAAGAGAAAAGCATTGTGTCCATATCATCAACATAATCTGAAAATCGTGCTTTGAGGTCTATAACCTGTGAAATAATTTTGATTTTAAAGTTGTTTAATCTTAGAACTCAGAATTTAACTCATTGTCTTTTGTGATAATGAATCAGCAATTAAACTTGCTTTAAACCCTATTTTTTATGAAAAAACAAAATATTTTTAGGTTGATTTACATTTTGTTAGAGAAAAAAATTAATAAGTGTGTGTTAAAAGTCGTAAAAATTAGTACTACATATTAGAATGTTGATGTCTTAACAAAATCTTCGGGTTCTATTCAACATGAGTTTTTAATTGATCATCTTGGATCAATTGATCTTTTTTTTCAAAAAAAATAGTATCTTTGATGGAATGTTAAATTTGAGAGGGGTGTTAAAAATATGAAGTTTTATAAAGAAAAATTGACACTGTAGCACAACTAAGTTTTGGCTTTGTCCTGGATTGGTCACTCAAGTTTTTTTTTGCGCAATTAATCCCTCAACTTTCAATTTACCTGTCAATTACGTCATTTTGAGCAAGAAAATTGGATGAACCAGTTGCTTTGCTTACGTGTTAATTAGAAAAATGAATAAAAAGAAAATCACAGGCCACGATGGCAATTCCACGTATTTATCAACTTAAATGAAATGAGTCGAGTGTAATTGAGAGGGACTTAAGTTCAGCTTTTAGTCGTCGTTTTCCTTAGCAATACTCAAAAAACTTCAACCAGAGCTAGGGTTTACAAGTCCTCCACATATCGAATTGAAAATAGGAGGAAGAAGAAGTTATGTTAACCTCAAACCTCAATGTGATATTTCTGATAGTGGAACTGAACTTTAACGGGGTGTTAATCGTCGTCCATTATCTTTACACTAATGGTATGAAATTCACCTTCATAGATCATGAGTTTTCTGCTATGTCACACTCAGAATATTACTTTTCTCGAACGTTTCATGCAACTAGATTGTAAGAAGCTATACTACTGTGAGCAAGGTGCTCACCTTTTGAGTGGCCTTATGTCTATCTCGAATGAAATGGAATATGCAGGTTTCATCTTTGATGCATATGGAACTGATGGTCAAATATGCCTTTTATGTGGACCATATTGGTGATGGAATATATGATATGTTTGAGTCAGAAGGAGGATGATGGGGATGATGACTCTTGCATTAGTGGTGGGGATGATGACATAGGTACCCTTAGGGATGTGACAGTGGATTTTAATGAGGAAATAGTTACTATGAATAGGACATGTAATGATGAATTCTTGACTAAATTGTGTTCCCAAGAAGAGGGGGGAGCAGGAGGATACCAAATATGATGTAGAAGATGAGGATGAAAGTGAACCCAGAAGTCAAGTTCATGCCATTTTTAATGAGTCAACACACTGGAAGAAACAAAAGCCCATACTTGGTATTAGATTTAAAGATCCAACTCAATTAAAAACTATGTTGTGCAACTATGTCATAGCCAATGGGTACCAATTATGCTTTGTAAAAAATGATAGGAAAAGATTGTTGGCACATTGTTGCAAGGGTAAGTGTACCTTCAGGTTATGGGCATCATGGATGAGTGATGAAGACAGCTTCCAAATCAAATCTTTGAACTTAGAACATAGTTATGCTAGGAGATTCACGTTACGTTCATTGGTTTCATATTCATGGATAGGAATTCATTATACCAAACAAATCTTACACAAACAAAAGATGAGTGTCAGAAAATTAAGATTAGAAGTTATTAGGAAGTTTGGTATTCATGTTAGTCTTGGTCAATGCAGGAGGGCTAAGAAATATGCTTTGCAATTAATAGATGAAACTCTTGTGGAACATTATGCAAAGTTATTGTCATATGGAGCAGAGATTAGGAGATCAAATCCAGGTTCAACTGTCAAAATTGATGTCAACAACATGCCAGATGGGAAGTACTTTAGTAAAATTTTATGTTTGCTTTGATGGAGTGAAAAAAAGGATGGATAGAGGGATGCAGGATGATAATAGGACCTGATGGATGTTTTTTGAAAGGCGTTTTAAGGGAGAATTACTATGTACTATTGGCAGAGATGCAAACAATCAGGTTTATCCCATTGCATGGGCAGTAGTATGTGTTGAGAACAAAGATAAATGGAAGCGGTGTTTGGATAATTTGATTTATGAATTGCAATTGCATTTAGGGAATGGATACAGCTTAATGTCAAATGGGCACAAGGTACCTACTAAATTTTTATTATAGTATGTATTGATTATCTATGGTTTGTTTGTTGGTATCTAATCTTATTAAGGTTGTTTGTTATATGGTTTGATTGAAGCTGTGAAAGAGATGCTACCCTATGCAAAGCACAGACAATGTGCGAGACACATAAATCAAAATTTGTAGAAAAGGTATAGTGGTGCCAACTATAGTACCTTACTTTGGAGAGTTGCACGATCAACAACTGGACAATCATTCAAAATTGCAATGAGAGAGCTTGAGATGATAAATCCAGATGCTCATAAGTACCTGATGGACAAAGACCTAAAGACTTTGGTCATTGGCATTTTACCAAACTGGAAGATGTTGTGCTGCTGTAGAGAATGGTATGTGTGAAAGCTTCAACGCCCTCATAGTGGATTCTATAAAAAAAGCCTCTTATCAAAATTTTGGAGGAATTAAGATTGTATATGATGGAAAGATTATACAACTTAAAGTTGAAGGGACAAGCATGGGGAAATCAAGTATGCCCTGAAATAAGAGAGCTACTCAATAAACTAAAGTTTTGTAAGAGAAATTACATTGCACTACCAAGTGACTTGAATCAGTTTGAGGTGAGAAGAATTGAAGATGCATATGAGGTTGATTTGGAGAAGAGAACTTGATCATTTAGGTTATGGAAACTCAATGGATATGGTTGTGTCTATTCAGTTGCTAGTATGGTGTATCTCAATAGGAATGTGGAGGATTATGTGGACAAAATGTTCAATGGCACTACCTACATGAAATCATATAAGTATAGAATTACAGGGATCAATGGGTCTAACATGTGGCCAGAAACTGAATACACACCATCATTACCCCTATGAGTATAAGGATGCCTGGAAGACCAATTGCTAAAAAGAAGAGGGATGTCAAAGAAAATAATGGCAGACCACGGACAAAAAAGAAGAAGGATTCAACAGTAACTAATGGTACCAATAAGGTTTCCAAAACTGGAAAGGGGGGTGAAGTGCAGCATTTGCAAGCAACTAGGTCACAATAAAGCAACTTGTTATGTGGGAAGACCCCAAAAACTTAATGTAAAGAAGACAAGGAACAAAAAAAATGTTAATGTATTACACTACTTACATTTTATTTGTATTGTACATAAAATTTAGGTTTTCATGACTTATATAACAATCTTTCACCATGTTATCTAGGTAATTGCAAATAAAGATCAAGAACAAGAAGAAATTCAATTAACTCCAATTGAGGTGCAAGTTACTCAAACACAGGTTCAGGAAGATATCTAAGTTAAGGTGCAAGTTGAACAGGGATTAGATGATGATGGTATTGACATTAAAGATTTGTTTAATGATGTGGAAGCTGAAGGGGATAATGTTGCTAATGTTCAAGTTCAAGAGCCCAATGTTGGTAATGTCCAAGTTGAAGAGGTCAATGTTGTTAATATTCAAGTTCAAGAGGTCCCACAAGTACCACACATATCTGAATTATTGAGGAGGATCAAAAGAAGAAAGTATGAGAGAATTGTGAAGTTGAAGTTGGGTAAGAGAGTGGGTGATAAGCATGCTCCAAGGAATTCAAGTGAAAAAGCTCTTCTTATAAGATAGGATAGTGTTGGTAATCTTGTTTTAATATGGTTATGTTGTTTTAAGAATTGGATCCCTTGATACTTGGTAGTTTTTATTTATGTAAGGTTATGTTGAATTTAAAATGTATGAAAGTATGTTGCCATATTATTACATGATACTAGGTTGGTTGCCTTATTATTGCATTCATGCACACAAATGGGTAATATGGTACATTATCATAAAATGTGCATGATATACACGGACCAAAACAATGTGCTCCTGTAACACTTGTTTCAGGTATTAATTTAATTTTCTAATTTCTAGGGTTTTGGTGCTGGGACTCGACGAGTTGGGAGATCCGACGCGTCGAGTGGAGGCTATTATGAGGACGCGGGAGTTGGGTCCTACTCGACGAGTCGGAAGGCCCGACTCAACGAGTAGGAGCTGTAAAGAGAAACCCTAATTTTTAGGGTTTGCACCCTATATAATCTCCTTAAGAACCTTGAGGTTGACCTTCCATCACCCTCCAAACCCTAAGAACGTCTGTGCTAAACCCTAATCCCCATTCTCTTCCATTTTGTGAGTCTCCTCACCATACCAATGGGTCTAAGGCACCAAGGACGGCCCATTTTATGATATGTGGCTTCCTAGTTGTAGTTGTATTATGTGGTATGATAGTTTGTTGAGCTATGAAGCATGCCAGTAGTATATATGGTATGTATGTGTGGAAGACCATGGGAGAGCTCATGGCACTTGGATGTAAGACCATGTGGAGAGCCCATGGCTTTCCTATCGAAGTCCATGGGGGAGCCCATGGCACTTAGGTGTAAGACCATGTGGGGAGCCCATGGCATCCTGGAGTAAGACCTTGGGGACAAGCCCACGTCATCCCTATCTGTTGTATGCTTGGTTTATGTAGTATATATGTCCTTTTTTAGCTAATATGTTATGTGTTATGTGGATTGTGTGTGGGGTATGCTCTGGGGAACTCACTGAGCATTAGGTTACAGTTTGTGGATTTGTTTCAGGTACATCCGAGCCCAAGGGCAAGGGCAAGGTCTAATGGCACGGCGTGCACTCTCTCTCAGTCGCTATCATGGGACACTCTGATGTTTTAAAATAAAATTGTTGATGTTATGAATTTGAAAACAATTGTATTTGGGATTACATGAATGATGAAACATATTTTGGCTAATTAAAAATGAAAATTTTCTTTTGAAAAATTGGGTTGTTACAAGTTGGTATCAGAGCCTTGGTTTGAGGGATTCAGGCACACTCTCGGGTGTGTCAGGACTCAAACTAAGGAAATGGTAAAAATTGTTTTCAATAATAAAATAAAAGTTAAAACTTTTGAAGAATGGAAAAGATGAGAGTGCAACGCGCATGATCGGCCAAGCCAAGTAAGTAGTTCCCCAATATGTTAGCCATGTTATATTGGTATTTGAGCTATGATAATCGTATGGATCTTGCTATGTGTATGCTTTTAAAATTATATACGGTTAGGAGCATATAGCCTTAGAATGATTGATTTGGCCTCATTTCATGTTCCTTGTTTGGTTGTGGTCCTGGGGTAGAATCTCTTATTCAAAAGTCTATTTAATCCTTTTCTGTGTATAATTTTCATGCATAAAGGCAACCTGTTATGATTGGTCTGAGTGATGTGAGTAGAGCAAATCTTAGGATAGCCTGATGTATGAGATATGTGATAGTCTGTGGTACATGATTTATTTTTTTGAAACGAATTAGAGTTAGCAGGTAGAGCCTTGGGGAAGGTACAGGTAGGTGTGGAAGGTAGTATTGGGCCCGTACTACTGAAAGCACAGGACCTGTACCCAAACCAATGTTAGATCTGACAGCTCTAAGGAGGACCGGTGCGGGAAGATTCCCTATATAGATATCCTGATCATTATGATTTATGACATTTATGTTCAGCATGGTGGTAACAAGATTCGGGACAAGGGGATCAGGATCGGGATCTGGATTTATATCGGGTAGCGGTACTGAGCCCATTGATGAGAGGCTGCGCGAGATCATTGTAGCCGAGGTTACGAAGGGCATCCTTGACGCTACCCCAGTGATCTTTGGGATGGTCAAGGAGGGGATGATGGAGATTATGGAGGAGAGGCTCAGGTCATTCAGAGCCGAGATTGCTGCGGGCCAGGTCGGGGCCCGAACTCCCTCGTTTCGGGAGTTCAAGGCGTGTAGAGCGTCGGAGTTTTTCGGGGTCAGGGACCCCATTGTTAGCCGACACTGGGTGGCGGATATTGAGAACGCCCAACGCACGAGTTCTTTCCCTGATGCGGCAAAGGTGGGTTTTGCTTCATGTATGCTGAGAGACAGAGCCCGATATTGGTGGGGAGAGGTGACCAGCCAGGTGGGAACAGCCGGTGTGGTTGAGATGACATGGGTCGAGTTTATTCGGCGATTCGATGCAGAGTTTGCACCACTTATTGAGGTGCAACGGCTTGTGAGGGAGTTTCATGACCTTCAGCAGACCAGCGAGACTATATAGGAGATCACCGCCAAGCTTCGGGAACGAGCATTGTTGATTCCACAGTACGCTACGGATGAGGATATGAGATGGACGAGATATCATTCCATGCTGAGGGATAATATCCATGAGTTTGTGAGATTTACTGGGTGCAAAACCCTGAACGAGATGGTGGAGAAGGACCATGAGTGGGAAATGGAGTTGGACTTCTGCACCAAGCGGAAGCCTAAGCAGGCACAGACGGCAGTGGGTCAGGCTAAAAATTCTAAGACCTCGGATCCTTCTAGCAGGGGCCATCAGGGTTGTGGCTGGTGTGCCAAGTTAGTTAAACCGCACGGTGGGGCTTGACGAGCGGCAGGCTCGGGATGCTATGCTTGTGGCCAATCGGGCCACGTGATCAGGGATTGCCACAAGCGAGCCGATTGTCCAAAGTTACAATAAGGGAGTGGAGCAGTGGCGGTGCCTGCGCCCGCCACACTGAGGATCACAGATGGCCACCCTGCTAAGGCGGATGCTCCAGCGGTGAGGAGTTGCGCCTTTCAGTTGACTACCGAGGAGGCTCGGGCAGAGCCATACGTCGTGGCTGGTATGTATTTCTTCTTCTCTACTCTATATTTATTTGCAGTGGTTATGTGTACATTGTGCTTGTATAGGGACCTTTTTGGCCAATGGTATGTCGGCTCATGTTTTGTTCGATTCGGGAGCTACCCGATCATTCGTGTCTCTTACGCTTAGCAAGAAGTTTCAGGATGCGCCGGGAACTCTGGATTCCCCGCTCGAGGTGGAGATTGTAGATGACCACATTGTGAGTGTTGCGAGGGTGTATCGGGACTATGTCCTAAATGTGCTTGGAGAGAGGTTTCGTGTTGATCTAGTTCCGATACCGTTGCGGGGATTTAAGGTGGTTGTCGGGATGGACTGGTTGGGGGCCAATGAGGCCATGATCGATTTCGAGCGCCAGTTAGTGAGGGTTCAAACCCCAAGTAGGGGAGAACTAGTTATACATGGTGAGAGATCCTCAAAGGGGCCAACCCTCTGTTCGGCTGCGAGGGCTAGGAGATTTCTACAGCAGGGATGTACGGGATTTCTGGCTTATATTTCGGATACGAGGGTTGAGACCACGACAGATGTGGGCAGGGTGCCGGTTGTACAGGAATTTCAGGATGTCTTTCCCGAAGAGTTACCAGGGTGCCTCCGGAGAGGCAAGTGGAGTTTCGCATCGATTTGGTGTCGGGTGCCGCTCCGATAGCGAAGGCATCGTACCGGCTAGCACCACCCGAGATGCAGGAGCTATCTACGCAGATTTAGGAGCTACTAGACCGAGGTTTCATCCGTCCGAGCAGTTCCCCATGGGGAGCTCCGATCCTGTTTGTGAAAAAGAAGGATAGGTCACACAAGATGTGCATTGATTATCAGGAGCTGAACAACTAACGGTGAAGAACCGTTATCCGCTACCGAGGATCGATGATTTGTTCGATCAGCTACATGGTGCGTCTTGGTTTTCCAAGATTGATCTATGGTCAGGATACCATCAGATGAGAATTCGAGATGAAGACATACCGAAGACAGCTTTCAGGACTCGATATGAGCACTATCAGTTCATGGTGATGCCATTTGGCTCACCAATGCCCCAGCAGCGTTCATGGATCTCATGAACAGGGTGTGTAGACTGATGTTGGATCGGTCGGTGATCATTTTATTGATGATATTCTGGTCTATTCTAAGACCAAGGAGCAGCATGAGCAGCATCTGAGAGAGGTATTGGAGACCCTGAGGGCGGAGAGGTTGTATGCCAAGTTCTTCAAGTGTGAGTTCTGGCTGCGAGAAGTACAGTTTTTGGGGCACATCATCAACCAAGAAGGCATTTCGGTTGATCCAGCCAAGGTTGAGGCAGTGATGCAATGGGAAGTACCGAACAATGCATCCGAGATCTGTAGTTTCTTGGGTTTAGCGGGCTATTATCAGAGATTTATCCAGGATTTCTCCAAGATTGTTGTGCCATTGACCCACTTGACCAAGAACAATGTGATATTCCGGTGGGGCACGGACCAACAGTTGGCTTTTGAGACCCTGAGACGGAAATTATGCGAGGCTCCGATACTAGTGTTACCGGAGGGGTTAGATGATTTGGGGGTGTATTGTGACACATCGATTTCAGGGTTAGGTGTGGTACTGATGCAGAGGGGGAATGTGGTAGCTTACGCCTCAAGGCAGTTGAAGCCTCACGAGGCGAATTACCCCACTCACGACCTGGAATTGGGGGCAGTGGTGTTTTCCCTCAATATTTGGAGGCACTACTTCTATGGAGTGAGGTGTGCCATCTATAATGATCACAAGAGTTTGAAGTATTTGATGGATTAGCAGAACCTCAACATACGACAGAGGAGGTGGTTGGACGTACTGAAGGACTATGATTGTGAGATCATATACCATCCCGGGAAGGCCAACATGGTTGACGATGCTTTGAGCCGCAAGGCAGCAGGTTCCCCGATTGGGAACGTTTGTTTGAGGATGACCGTGATCTCTCCATTGTTGGATATGATCAAGGAGGCTCAGGTCGAGGGGGTGAAGAAGGATAATTGGAAGATAGAGCGGATTCGAGGGCAGTATCCTTTGTTTGTTAAGGATTGTCGTGGCCTTTTGATACAGTGTGGTCGGGTATGGGTACCGGTGACCGGAGGAGTGAGGCAGAAGATATTGGAGGAGGCACACAAGTCCAAGTTCTCTATACATCCAGGAGCTACAAAAATGTATAGAGATTTGAGACTGAGTTACTGGTGGCCCTGCATTAAGCGGGAGATCGCCTGGTTTGTGGAGCAGTGCTTGACCTGCAGGAAGGTCAAGGTCGAGCATCAGCGGCCTCATGGCAAGGTTCAGCCGCTACCTATTCCCATGTGGAAGTGGGAATAGATCACTATGTACTTCATTACGAAGTTACCGAGGACGACGAGGGGTGTGGACGCCATATAGGTGATCGTAGACAGAATGACGAAGAGTGCCCACTTCATTCCAATCTCTGAGAGTATATCCGCTGAGAAGTTGGCGGATATTTATGTGCGAGAGGTGGTGGCTAGACACAGAGGGCCAATGTCGGTAGTCTCTGAAAGGGATGTTCGGTTTACATCTAGGTTCTGGAAGAAGTTCCACGAAGAACCGGACACTCAGCTTCATTTTAGTATGGCGTACCACCCCCAGACAGATGGCCAGAGCGAGAGGACGATCCAGACATTGGAGGATATGCTGCGAGCATGTGTGTTGGATTTTGGAGGGAGTTGGGATACATACCTTCCACTGGCAGAGTTTTCATACAATAACAGTTACCATGCCAATATCGACCGACCTCCATTTGAGATGTTGTATGGTAGGAGATGCAGGACCCCGGTTTGTTGGGACGAGGTTGGACACCGGGTCATGGGGAGCACTGAAGTAGTGCTCAAGACTACCGGATTGATTCAGCAGGTGCGAGACCGGCTGCGGGTCGACATAGCCGTCAGAAAAGTTATGCTGACCGACGGCGATCGGATCTCGAGTTTCAGGTGAGGGACTTTGTACTACTGAAAGTGTCACCATGGAAGGGGGTTATCAGGTTTCGAAAGAGGGGCAAGCTAGGACCCCGATATATAGGCCCGTTCAGGATTTCGGGCCGGGTGGGCAAAGTGGCATATCGCTTGGATCTGCCGGATGAGCTTAGCCAGATTCACAACACCTTCCATGTGTCGCAGCTTCGGAAGTGTGTCACTGACGAGTCCGTGGTCGTCTCGCTGGACGATATTCAGGTTGATGAGAGCCTGAACTACATTGAGAGGCCTGTTGCGATTCTAGATAGGAAGACCAAGGTTCTTCGGAACAAGGAAGTGAAGCTGGTAAAGGTGCAATGGCAGCACCGAAGGGGCTCCGAATAGACATGGGAGCCGGAGGATGAGATGCGAGACCACTACCCGGACTTATTTGGGTCGGCAGACTTCGAGGACGAAGTCTAGTTCAAGTGGGGGAGATTTGTAACACCTGTTCTAGGTAATAATTTAATTTTCTAATTTTTAGTGTTTTGGTGCTGGGACTCGATGAGTTGGGAGCTTCGACTCATCGAGTAGAGGCTATTATGAGGACGCGGGAGTTGGATCCTACTCGACGAGTCGGAAGGCCCGACTCGACGAGTAGGAGCTGTAAAGAGAAACCCTAATTTTTAGGGTTTGCACCCTATATAATCTCCTTAAGAACCTTGAGGCTAACCTTCCATCAGCCTCCAAACCCTAAGAACGTTTGTGCTAAACCATAATCCCCATTCTCTTCTATTTTGTGAGTCTCCTCACCATACCAATGGTTCTAAGGCACCAAGGTTGGCCCATTTTATGATATGTGGCATCCTAGGTGTAGTTGTATTATGTGGTATGATAGTTTGTTGAGCTAGGAAGCATGCTAGTAGTATATATGGTATGTATGTGTGGAAGACCATGGGAGAGCTCATGGCACTTGGATGTAAGACCATGTGGAGAGCCCATGGCTTTCCTATCGAAGACCATGGGGGAGCCCATGGCACTTAGGTGTAAGACCATGTGGGGAGCCCATGGCATCCCTGAAGTAAGACCCTGGGGACGAGCCCACGGCATCCCTATCTGTTGTATGCATGGCTTATGTAGTATATATGTAGCTTTTATAGCTAATATGTTATGTGTTATATGGATTGTGTGTGGGGTATGCTCTGGGGAACTCACTGAGCATTAGCTTACAGTTTGTGGATTTGTTTCAGGTAGATCCGAGCCTACGGTCAAGGGCAAGGTCTGATGGCGTGGCGTGCACTCTCTCTCAGTCGCTATCATGGGACACTCTGATGTTTTAAAAGAAAATTGTTGATGTTATGAATTTGAAAACAATTGTATTTGGGATTACATGAATGATGAAACATATTTTGGCTAATTAAAAATGAAAATTTTCTTTTGAAAAATTAGGTTGTTACAGCTCCTCATTTATATTACTTTGTCAATTCCTGCACATAAAAAGGGAAACAAAGTGGACACAAACTGGTCCATTCCTGCATAATCCAACATTTATGGTCCCATGTTATTATTAAAGTAGTTTGGTCCATTCCTGCACATGCAATGCACTCAGTTCCTTGTAAACAACATAGACAGTGTACTTTTGCAAGGTCCAGGAATCTAATACACACACACACAAACACTTTCCAATTGATAATAATATAAGGACACTTTTAATTATAATAATGTCAAAAGACTTTACAAAACCATGCATTTCTAGTACAAAAGGCCCCATCATTCAGTCTTGGCAGTATTCATGAACTGCATACATTGCTACAATGATCCCAAAAGTTGGTTGGAATTGTTATCATCAACCAATTATATACTAAAGCCCCCAAAAGTAGGTTGGAATTTTTATCATCAACCTAACCCTAAGACATATACAAAAACCCCCCATCACCGACTAACTTCACTTCCATAACATCCAAAGGCAAAGCACAACCACCACAAGAACCACAATCACAAGCTTCAACCTAGCAGCTACTTTATTTGACTGGCCCAGGAGCTTTTGTAGCCTCTCAACCTCATCATTCTCCTTTGATAGGAGAAACTCCAACTCTACCACTTTAGTCTTGTATTTACCCAATTCAGAGCGATCCTCTCTACTGTCCAATTGTTGCTTCATTGAGTAAATCAATGTTTTGTAGTAACCATCTTCCAACTCATCATCTATCCACTCAAAGAAGTTGCATTCCATAAGCTTGGTTTGTGAATCATTTAAATAAGCACGGGACATAGTTATTAATCAATAAATCTTGGTCTATTAATCAAGTAAACAAACACAGAATGTCATAATTGCTAATCAAGTAATCTTTACCGTATTGTTCTTGTCAGACTAATTATGGTTTTTGAAACCCTAATTTCTTGAATAAATCTTATATTAAGTAAAAGATTATCAACATAGAAGTAATGTGGGTCGATCGGAAGCTCACCAAGCTATTACGAGGGTTAAAGAACCTCCTCCCAGGATTTCCAATGCACCACGATGTCCTTTGCAGTGAGGGTTTCTCACGGTCACATTCGGTAGGGTAGTTCATGTTGTCGGCATTGGAACCTCGTAGCCTCATCGTTCGACTGGTGGAGGATGAGCAAGTCATCGAGAGAATTCTTAAGTTGAACAACTTTTCTTGAATATTCGGGTGAAGGAAACAATGTAACGAGAGTGTGCTATATGAGGATATCATTTATTAGGTAGGTGATGACCGAGTTGTGACGTGGTTGAGTAGCTACAGTAACGGTTTAGCTTATCTCACACGTCGGATTGTCAAGTAAGCTTTGTAACCGGACAACCATCTAAAATCGATCTAAATGGCGTAATTGACAGGTAATATGAAAGTTGGGGGATTAATTGCGCAAAAATAAAAATAAATAAAACTTAAATGACCAATCCGGAACAAAGCCAAAACTTTGTTATACTACAGTGTCAATTTCCCTTTTATAAACAAACATAACATTTTCAATCTTAATATTCTTAATTTTACATAAAGATTTCATATGAGGATATGGGGAGTGGGGGCGCCAAGCCCACTTGCCAAAGGGTTAGCATGAGCAAAACACCACCCCCTACACCATGCTAAGGAGATGCGCTAAGAGAAGCTTGCTGGTTCACCAGCGAGAACGAGAAGAAAGAGAGGAAGTGATTCTTTGATGTGGGGTGTCATTGGTCCTTTTGCATTTATTTTTTTATTTATTTTTTTAAATTAGAAGCCTTTGATTGGTCATCTTTTATTTGAATTTTTTTTTAATTTTTTTCCCATAATCTAAGTGTATATATTTTCTATGACAAAAGATTTAGGTGGAAGAAAAAATTTGATATGTCATGTCTTTAGCATGTGTCACCACTCCCCATAGCTTAAGGGTAAGATATGTTATTTATTGTATTGTGTTGGGTAGTATTCGTTCTTTTCTTTGCAGATTTGATATTCGACACCAGGACCTCATTGGATCTATGGGTCATTTTTGACCCGGCTATTTATTGTGTCAACTGGTGTCCGGAGCTCATAACACACGAATTAGTCACACACTTAGTGTAGAACTCTCTCAAATATCTTTCAATATATTGTGTTCTTTTTAGATTAGGGTTTCAGTTGAGTTAATCTCTGTAAATCATCTTCTGTTAACAGTGAAGAATGAATCAGTAGTAAGGTTTCTTTTGAAATTTGTTCCATGTATAAACAATGTGGTTTATAATGAATAAACTGATCAAGTTGGGAAAAACTATGAGTTTATAGTTTGTAACACAATAATCATAAATCTCTTCAACACATCTCATGAACTTAACTGATTCAATCATAAAATATACATAGTCAAAAATGTTGTGAGCATAGGAACATCATCCTCAAATCCACAACAATTTCCCAAGTCATAAGAACACCATCCTCAATCCACAACAAACAAAACCATTACTTGCAGAACACAAATTTAAGTTGGTTATTTCACAGTATGTTCGAAAACATGAAATACAACTTAACAACCATTGCAAATGGATCTTGAGATTTAAATTCCTCGATGTCAAGACCACAAGTTGCAGATTTCTAATTTGTTAAATTTCTCAAATAGCAAAATATCAATGTACAGGTAGTTCAAACCTGTATGCAATAACATAAAATCTTTGAAATGAAACCCAGATAATTTCAATTAGAACGAGTACAAACACATCACGATAACATGAGATTAGTCCCTAACAGATTTGCAAACAAGACATTTACAAAATCATATCTAAGCCCTCTCGCCTCTAATCCTCCTAGCCAACTGCATATCCTTAGGCATAATTGTAACCCTCTTGGCATGAATGGCACACAAATTAGTATCCTCAAACAAACCAACCAAATAAGCCTCCGAAGCCTCCTGAAGTGCAGCCACTGCACTGCTCTGGAACCTCAGATCCGTCTTGAAATCTTGAGCAATTTCTCTCACAAGTCTCTGAAACGGAAGTTTGCGGATCAGAAGCTCGGTACTCTTCTGGTACTTACGGATTTCCCTGAGAGCGACGGTGCCTGGCCTGAATCTGTGGGGCTTCTTCACTCCTCCGGTGGCCGGCGCTGATTTCCTTGCAGCTTTTGTCGCCAATTGCTTTCTCGGAGCTTTTCCTCCAGTTGATTTGCGAGCAGTTTGCTTGGTTCTTGCCATTTTTTGCAAAGATACAAGGGGATTAAGAAGCTTTGTTTTGTGTATGCAAGACTGATTGTTGTGAGGACTTGGTGAGGAAGATATCTGTTTTTTATAATGGTTTGCCGCTGACGGGGTTTGTGGAGTTTTGAAACTTTTCGGAGAGAACAGTCGGCGCGAACGAGATCTGTCCGTTGGATTGTTGAAGTGATAAATGGACGGTCTAGATTATGGGTTTTTAGGGGACGCGGATAGCGATCCGTGTGCTTTTTTTTTATGTAACCGGTATGTGTTTTAAAAAAAAAAAAATCTTGGATTATAAACTTATGTTGAATTTCGTAGAAGACATCCTTGATATTTTAAATATGGTTGTAAAAAATGCTAACGTGATTTTTTTAATTTATTTAATCTTATTCTTTTTTTGTTTTAATAACAAAATAACACCTTTTTTTTTCATCTAATCTTCTGTGGTTCCTTTTCATCACGTATTTATTTATTATATATGATTAAACTTTTAAAACTAAATATTTCTTATATTTTGTATCTATTGATAAAAAACAATTTCAAATTTCTTTTTTTTTTCTCTTTTTTGCAGTATAACCATTGAAACTGGTAAACACTTTCAAATAAACTTTTGTATCCGGTGAGTGCCAATTTTAATGGTTAAATTGCAAAAAAAAAAAATGACTTTTGTACCCGGTTAGTGCCGATTTTATCAGGTTGTGAACAAGTAGTCGGTCACCTAAGGCTTTTATATAAATATAAGGGGCATCCTTGGTGGCTAAAATGCTACACTTATACGTTTTCATTGGAAGAAGAACTTCGCGTTTTGGGGCTTGGAGATATGAGCGATGATGGTCTTCTGAATAATGGTGGTGTTGAGATAGTGAAGATGATGGTTTCTTTATTAGTGGTGGCGATTGTTGTGGTGACGGATGGTGGTGGTAGTGGTGGTGGTTGTAAAGGCTAGTGGCAGTAGACGGTGCTATTGGTGGCAAAGGGTGGTGGTGATGATGTGTGTTTCGATAGATATAGGAGTTTCATAGAGCTTAAAATTAATAAACAATATTATCTACCTAAATAGCTTTTTGGTGTGATTACGACAAAACTATTCATATCTTAAAGCAAAATATGGGTCCTAAACCTATTTAAATAAATTTTAATTGTGAAATATTTTTAAGCATTATTTAAATTGACTAAAACTATACTCTATTTTGATAGATGTCTATAAACACAAACTCGTCCACTACAAATTATGCACTGCAAAGTTTCCTCAATCCGGACAAGCTAAATAACATTAACTATGGTCATTGGTTCCAAAACTTGAGAGATATATTATGATTTTTCAAAAACGATTAATGTCATTGAGTAACCAATTCTTATGGATCCTATAGTTGGATCTATTATACCTGAGATAGAAGATTATGAGATCCGTCTTAATGACTCAAAAGAGGTGGCTAGCCTTATGTTAGGCATGATGATTCCCGATCTCTTAAAGATCTTGGTTCATAGTGGTGCATATAACATGATCATCCGGCTTAAAGACATGTTTTAAGGGTAGGTTAGGCAGGATCAATCCAAGACCGTGAAATTTATAATGAGATGCAAGTTGAATGAGGGAGAAAACCTTAATGCCCATCTTTTTTAAGATGAAAGGATACATCAGCAAGTTTTATAAGTTGGGCTTTCTAGTCGGTTGGGAGTTGGCAAAAAAACTTGTCCTCAACTCACTGACTAGTTCTTATGATCTGTTTATTTCAGACTTTTTTCAAAAAGAACACATAAGTATCTATTATGAAGTTGCATTGCATGCAAAATGAAGAACTTAAGACTGCTAAAACTTCTAACAAAATTGTTCCCAAAGGAGGCATCAAGAGAAAAAGGACAAACCTTCTCATAGGAGATTTTTTTCTAAGATACCAAAATCAGGGAATATTAAGGAGATATATTGTTTCCATTATAAGGAAGTGAGGCATAAAAGGCATAAATGCCCAAGATATCTGAAGGAGCTAAAGAAGCTACAATCCAAATAGCATGGCACTTCAAGTATATTAATAACTCCATAACACTTTACTTCTAACTCATGAGTAGTGAACACATGATGCAATACTAACATTTGTAATTAATGTGAATAGACTTAAGGGAAGTATAAAGCTAAAACACAAAGAACTTGATCTAATCATGGACAAAGAGCAAACCACTGCCATTTATAGGATTAGGAAACACACACTTCTTCTTGTGTTTATCTATGGTTTTATATTGAACTTGTTGATGTTAACATTATTTTCTGAGATATTTTTACTAGGATTTTGAATAAAGTTATTTGTTTTAAAATTTTACTTTATTTTTAAAGCAAAACAATATCGTGACATCTATGAATTAATACACAACAATTCAATATTGATTCAACTACATCAAAATAGTTTGGATAAGACGTATTAGTGCAATTATATGCTTTATTTTATAAACCAACAATGTATTACTAAAAGTACAGGTGGATAGGATTTTGGAAGTCATTACGAATCTTATGATAAAAGCAAGTTTTGTTTATCAATATAGAGACCAAGAGCACCACTTAGTCAAGCATGTATCTTTTGGAGTTAGGTTATACTAATGGACCATTCAGATCGACCATAATGCATGGTTAGACAAATTTCATTATCTTTAGTTGGTATGAACATGTTTTTCTGGTTAAACATAAGTTTGAAACCTTCAAGGTGTTCATAGCTTTCTAAAATAAAGTGAATAATCAAGTAAGAAAAAGGATAAGATACTCATATAGGGATATCGATCATCTTAGTCAAAAGTCTATGGATCATCCAATTAATTATGAAATCGATTCAAAATTGTATCCATATCGGACACCACCACATACGATGTAGTTGGAAGGAGAAACAAATAACTGTTTGATCTGGTTCATGATCAGTCGTACCATGCTTCCAAATAGTTTATGGAATAATGCCATGAAGATTGTTAGAAAAGTCCTTGAACTTGTACTAACTAAGAAGGTTTCCAAGACACCCTCTAAAATATGGACATGGGTTTCTCCCTTGATATCACATTTAAAATTATAGGACTGTGAGGATTACGTTCATCGTGGAGCTCTTGACAAGCTAGAACACATATCAAAGAGATTTCACTTTGTTGGACATCTTGATACATCTTTTAAGGTATTTATTTTACAAACCTTCAAAAACAAACTGTTTGTTGCTCAAATGACATTGTTCTAGAAGAGGGAGCTTATATCCAAAGAGGTTAGTGGGATCCAGATTGATCTTTAATAAATTTTAGATTCTACCAACGAAGAGCCTGATGTTGGCACTAGCTCGTAACAAGAGGTTGAAAGACATGTTGAGGCTCTGGTTACTGAGGAATCTGGCATACCTCTACCTCATCTCTGAAGATCTGATAGAGTATGTCATACACATGAGATTTATGAGTTGCATATTATTGATGAATATGAGTCATTGGTAAACCATGATGAACTTACCAGCTATCAGGAACCCATGGTAGGCCCTAAGGTTGCCAAATGGAAGGAGGTTATAGAGAGAAAGATTAAATTCATGTATTAACCAAATTTGGAACTAAGTTGATTACACATCTGACCTTAAAAATGTAACATCTCGGGCTTTCAGGTATTTTCAAATCCTTCCTTGGTTTTTAATTACGCCATTTTGGGTCCATGGATTATAAAGATGTAGCCTTAAGAAGCCCTGGTGGCAAAATGGTGATATTTGGAAGCATGAGTAGTACACTGGGCATACACATATCTACATTGGGCGTACTAATGTCCGAATGAAACCCTAATTTTTAGGGTTTGCAGAGTATTTAAGCACCTTTATGGATCATTTTGCCTCACTCTTTCAGCCTCCGAGTCCTTAATCCATTCTTAGCAAACCCTAACCCCCATAAGTGAGTTTTTTGGAGCTTAAAGTGTGTTATTTATGTGCTTAAAAGAGAAGGAAGCGCATCAAGGAGTCAAGGAAGGAAAGCAAGCTTGTATATCTTGGACCATCATCTTCTTGGGAAGCTCCAGAAGGTAAAAAGTTGCTACATTTATGCTTGGTTTGCTTAAATCTCATATTGGTAGCTTAATGATGTTCTCTTGTCCCTAAAAGTCCTATTGTTGTGCATGTTTGATTTTAGACGTTTTGAGTTGTCCTTCTAGACCCTAAGAAGGGTCCTTAGTCATAAAAATGAGGTCCCAATGGTCAGGAGTGTCTCATGCATTTGGAAAAAGGGTCTTAATGGATTAAGACCTTGTATTAAGAACTTTTGGACGTGTAAAGTCATAAAGTTGGAGGCTTTATGACTCTAGGGTGCATTTGGACCATGGATCTGTAATATGGGCTTAAGTGCTTAAGCCATTAAGCACTTAGTAGACTTCTGGGTGGGATCTGTGAGGGTACGCCCCGCGTAGGGAGGAGTACGCCCCGCGTACTCGGTCTGCCACCCCGATGGTGGTCAATGTGAGGCTCGCGTACGCCCCTGCGTACCTCCGGTGTATTCCCATCGTACGTCGTCTGTGGACTTTTGAGTATGGGCTTCGAGTTTTGGGCCACCTTTTGGGCTTGAATGTCTTGGGCCCTATTGGACTTTCTGAGTATGAGTGTTTTGGGCCAGTTGGAGAGTTGAACCTTAGGATAAGGCCCAATAAGGAGTTGGGCCCAATTTTCCTGGGTCTTGAAGTAATTTGGGCCTTTTGAATCAAAATTGGACATTGGGCCTTGGTCCAATTAGGGAAAGGGTAAAGTGGACATTTACCCTAAGTATGGATCCTTCGTCAAGGATGGTAATCCAATTGTTAATTGGATGTTTGTTTGTTGTGATAGTTTGGGATTTTTCGTGAACCAGCAGCCAGAGGTTTTCAGTGTGGTTCGACATTGTGAGGTGAGTTTTCCTGACCATACTTTCGGGTCGAAGGCACCAAGGCCGACCCTTTGGTTTGATAACTTGATATTGTTGATATGTTGAGTATGGATTGATATACATGCTAATATTGATATGTTAGTCTGGTAGAT